GATAGATATTGGGCGTCTGTGATTCACGGATTGATTTTTGGATTGGTAGGAGTTGGAGCGAGAAGCTCCAACAATGCGACTGCTACGTCTGTTGACCATTGTAGCAATACTTGAAGTTGTGGGATAGTAGTTCCCACAGACGGCGCCAAACTGTTGCGAGCTAGAATATACGCGGTGGTAGAGTTTACAAATTCACGTCTGAGTGTTGTACGAATATTCAGCACACAAACAAAAAAGAAAGTAAACACCATGATTTTTACGTGGAAAACCCTGAAAAGGGAAAAACCACGGGGCCACGCCCAGTTGAAAAGTTCCACCAGTGTTGCGTAAATTACAAGAAGCTGATTCGTCCCACAAGTTAGGACAATCAGATTACACTAAGTTTCTCCTGAATTAAAACTAAGCTGTGCAAAATCCCAACGTTTTCAGAATATCCGGCAGAATTCCGGCGTATTCAGGCGGCGGGAAGAACTCCGACGGTGGTCGAGGAGGAGCTGATTCTCCTCCTCCTTCTCTTATCTTCTTCTCTCTCTTCTCACTTGAGTCCTCTTGTGAAGAATGAGGGCTCTATTTATAGTTTTTCTGGAGTGGCATGGCTTGTAAATAGGTGTGAGATCATGGGTGAATAGAGAGTGGTCGAATGGACGGTTGATGTTGAATCCTTCGATTACACACCGTTTGTTGGACATTTGAAGGCCTTAGTGATGTCATAATTTGGCAATCTTAAGTTCGTTGGATTCGTCTCGTTGAGCCGCTCAATTCGAGTATAAGCTCGTTAAATTCGGAGATCGTTTGGTAACTCAAATTGTGGTACGAGCTTTATAACAGCACTTCGGACGCTTGATTTGGGCTCATTTGGACTCGGATTGAGTTGAATTTTGTCTTGTTGGCTTTGTATTTCTGAGATGCTCAGTTTGACTGTAAGCTTGCTGAAATCAGATTTCGGGTGCTCATGAATTTAATTTTTTAAGTTTCCTGGTTGGGTTTTGCCTCGGGATTCATGCCCGATCAAGATAATTTTTTGAGAATATATCAATAATCTTTTCTCACTAGGAGAAATTGGAATTCGTCCTTGCAAGTCAAAGCAAATCACTTTGGCTTTGTTTGGGATAGTTTTCTTACTGTTTTATAAAGCTATTTATCATTATGAAAATTTTTTGAATTTGAAATTTTTATACTATAAAGCTACTTTGAAAAATAGTAAAAAAAGCTATCACAAACAAAGCCTTTGTCCTTGTTGAGAAAAGAGTAAAGCATTCCTACTCCTATTATTTCCATTAAAATTAATTATCCCTTATTGGTAGGACTAAATATTATATCTTATATATGGTTAAATTGTATGCATCATCATTTTGCCTAATGGTAGTAATTCATCTTATCTCCTATTTTAAGTAATTTTTTCTAACTTATGTTTCCTCAGTACTCTTCATTTTGGAACTACCTCCAATCTATCACCTATCTATTATTTGCATCATTAGGACACCTAAATTTTATTGATTTCATTTGTCAACAATCTCAATTGGTATATTTGTTAGTTTTCCCCACTTGTTATTTTTGCTTGCACATCTTAATTATTTTTTATTAGTTCATGTTTAAAATCAATTTCTTTTCAAGAGATTTTTTTTTTTTTGAAAAATATTGATTATGTGCTAATTGTATAAAATTCAATTGCATGTTAGAATATTTACAATAATAGTAAAAATTTTATATCTTATTTTTTGAATGAGGTCCACAAACTACATACGTAGAAGTAACGCCATAAATTTTTATGTGAAAACTTTGAAAAAAAAAAGGAAAAAACCTTCGGCCCTGGTCTTATTAAAATAATCTAATATGAAAATGAGATTACTGAAGTTTGCTCTTCTTCTTAATTGAAGAAGATGGAACTGTAAAGTATAGATCATTAGCTTACACTCTTATCGTTATAATAAAGAATTCAAAAAGAAATGAAAGGTGATAATGTCTATCAAGAGATGGAAATCGAACAAAGATAATTATATTATAATGGTGGGGTGATGATGATTGTGCAACTTTTTTAGACAATTATAGTCAAGTGATTATGCTCGGACGACAATGGCTATGCAACGATAATGGATCAAGAGTGGTAGGGAAATAAGGATCAAGTGATGGCAATCTACAACGATTAAGAAATAATGATTAGGCAATTGAGGTTACGAGTAGTGATTGTTGACATTAATCACCTGTAGAGCTCTACTATTCTTCAAATTCCTAAGCTTTCTCCACTTTAGGTACCCTTCATGTGAATAATGGAGTCTTAATAATAGCTTTTTGGAGTAGTGTTTTTGGTAATTTTATGGCAACTATAATTAACCGATAATTATTAGATGATGATGGTCAAACAACAATCATTAGGTAATGATGTATAGGCGGGGCAGTAATAGTGTAATAACCCGTATGTTGCTCTGTCAAATATTTTATTTTTAATGCTTGAATGACACAGCATATCATGCATAATTAAATAACATGTTATAGAATGAACAACATGACTTTATGATTTTTTAAGAGATTTGATTTGATTTTGATTTGATTTGAGTTTTAATTGTAGGAATTTCATTTATCTCGACTTTATAAATGAATCCTTAAGGGAACAGTAGGGGATGACATTTTCTTAAAGTTGGTATAGATTGTTATAACCCTTATGTTGACTCAGCCAAATAATTTTTTGGAGTAAATATAACTCCAAATCACAAACCGTTTTCGCCATAACATTGAGATTGTGGTATTTTAATTATACGAAATCTTTCATAACTTTTTGGCCCCAGTAAAAATCTTTAAGAAATTGACACCTGCCAGTACAAGTGAGAATTTTGAAACCGTCAGGTGTCCATTTTGCAAATCGATTTCACCAATATTTTTTAAATATAATAATTTATTTTATGGATTTTTTTCTATAATTTTTGAAGCCTTAAAATGCCTTATTTGAATTTTTGTTTAAAGAATTAATTAAATTAAATATTATATTAATATTATATTAAAATATCTTAAAGCATTAATAAGAAATTTTTTTATAAAATCCTTTTTCCTTTTCATAATCAGCTAATAGAGATGGTTTTAGAGAAAACAAAAGAGAAAAGAGAGAGAAAAGAAAAGTTAGATTTTGGAGGTCGCGGTACGATTTTTGTCAATCGGCCCAGTTAGGTGATTTACTCATCTCACTATAAAGAATCATTATCCTATTTTTGATTTTAAAGATTTTATATTTTTAATATTTTTTTATTAAATTTATGTTCTGTTATTAAAAAATGAGAATAATTTTGTATTAGAAAAACTCTCATTGTGTAATTTTTTATATTTTATAGATATTGAGATTATAATTTTTTTTTATTTAAAATTTTTTACCAAATGATTTTGAAAATATAATAATTTTTGCCTTATCAAAAATTTATTTTGACATCTAAAAATAATAATTCAGTTCAACTAAAACTTCATAAGGTTATTTTATGGTATACATGATAGTTTGGTAAATTTTTGAAAATATGAATTTTTGCTCAGTAGAATTTTTTTTGTCTACCGTTATGACATTTTTACACTTTTTATATTAAACTTATATATGCTTTATTTACATAATGCATTAAAAATAATATGGATATGTGATTGGATTGAGTAATAGCTGGTTAGTATTATTGTTATAATATTTTCATAATAATGTGTCTGTATAAAAGACAAGTAAAGACTAATTGGCTTATTGGTTGGAGACTGATTGACCTGTATATGATGGTGGGCCAACAGGCTTTTCTTTAAATACTATAATTTAATGTTATCATCTACTGATTCATGTGATATATATACTTATTGATAGTTATAAGAAAATAATTATTTTGACAATGGATAAAGAGTGACAACTCTGTTTACTGAGCCAACAATTTACTGATATTAATACAATACTGAAAAATACATTAATAGCTAGACTTCTTAATTATTTAATATTTCTACTAAAATGTATATTATTGAGTCATTATTCATATTACTACATATATTTATTATAATTGTATTGTTTTACTGCTCCTGTTAATGAACTATTACTAATATAAATACTGATATTATTTAATACTATTGAATCACTATACTGATATTGAGTATGTGATATATTAAGCACGTGATCTAAAATACTTAAATAGTATATGTACACTCTTATATGATTTTACTATATTAACATGATTTCAACAGTTTTTATTGATGTTTTGATTTGATGCTTTACACAATTTCTGTACTGATTGATATTATGGATACGATGATTTATTTATATAACTTATACTCATATTGGTTTCTTACTTTACTGGCTTTCATATGTTGTTTATAGATTCTGCTACTACTGTATATGAATTTTATTATTTTTACATTGATTCAATTATCATATGAATATAATTACTATGATTTGATTGTTGATATGCATATTGCTCATTTACCATGCTTTGAATTCAGTTGTATATTTTGGTGACTTATTAGGCTTTTTAGCTCATTATATATGGTTAAATGATTTCATATTAGGGCAAATAAGCATGAGTATGAGGCAGGTCAGTATTCATCAAGTTTTATTTTTTTATTTAGTTATTCTTTTATACTCAGGACATGAAATGTGACGCCCCAATATCTAACTTGGCAAGAATTTCAATCAATTCATTAAAACTAATTACCAGAGCTATCTATAACTTCAATCAAACAGTCTAGCAAAAATCTATAACATTTAAAACATCAATGTACAAGTCGATTCATACCTCAAAAGATCATATACAATACTCAGAAACTAAATCTCCTCTAATCTGCTGCTTCCACTTCCGCATCACAAAATTCCAAGAAGAATCTAAACAGATTTCGTCCATTTTTGGAGCCTCATACTGAAGAATTGTTAGGCATGGACTACATACATGCCTCGCGAGGACAAACGGTGGAGTAGATAGAGTGGAAAATTAATTATCCACACCTGATAATTTCTCCCTATTTTGAAACCCAGCTGTAACAACTGAAAACTGTTTGGTGCATATTGTAAGAAGAATTGATTATGTCAACATATTTACACGGAAATAAATTATTTCCAATCAAACCAAAGAATACAAAACCCTCTAATCCGCTGCTTCACATCCGCATCACAAAATCCCAATTTAAACCAGCTGAACAAAGGTCAGCAGCCTTCACAAAATAAAATCCAACTAGACAACGAATTCTTGACATAAATAAAATTAAAAAAAGAAAGAAAGAATACGAGCATGGAATAGCACTCACAGATCCGGGAGTGAAAGCATCAGTGTAGCTCTTGACGAGGGGCTTCGACATTTTTCCCCGCATGTACGGGTCGCAAGAGAGGTAGAGATTCTTGAGGAGAACGGCATTAGAGCCGGTCGGAACTTTGAGCTCGAGGTCGGAGGAGCCGAGAAGTAGGTCCTCCTCCTTTGGGTACCCTGTCACGTAGTCCTTGAGAGTGATCCGCTTGTTTTTGACCTTCTCTGTAGACATTTTTTCAAAGCCCTAAAATCTGCAGATTGTTTGAGAGAAGTAGAAGAAGACGATCGATACTGAGCTCGCAAAAGAAGTGCGAGGCTGCTTTATCATATTGTCGGAAAAAGCAGCCAAATCCCCTCAGCGTCAGGTTTGCGTCTTCACGATTATGTCGATTAAGGCGTGATAAACGTGCATTCATATTTTTTTAGGGATAGGAGTCAAAATGTCAAATATAATAAATAATAAAATTATTTAAACATATATTATTGTTATAAAAATGACTTGTATGTTTTTTCAGATTTAATTATAATCTTTTGTTTAGATTTTGTTTTTATTAGTTTTTTTTTTTTTGAAATATTTAGGTCAATTAAGATGAATTCACGCACACATCACATATGTAAGACTCGAACTCAAGACCTATAGGTTGGTGGCCAATACTCGCAATCAACATATAAAGATGAGAATTGGGTGCTTTTTTATTGGTTTCTAAAATAAACTTTTATTATTAATTGTTCATTCTTCCATCGAATCTGAATATCGAGCAAGGGCGGAACTGTTCATGGGTAAGGGGCCCCCCCCCCCCCCCAAAAAAAAATTCCCTTATAAAATTACGCAACTATTGGCTGAAATAATTTTTTTTGTTCACTGCCTCCAAAAAAATTATTAGAGAAGGGTAATTTAGTAACTTGATCCCATAAATTTGTTATTTAAAGATGAGAACTGGGTGCTTTTTTATTGGTTTCTAAAATAAACTTTTATTATTAATTGTTCATTCTTCCATCGAATCTGAATATCGAGCAAGGGCGGAACTGTTCATGAGTAAGGGTGTTAGAGCACAAAGATATAATTAAATAACAGGCATATTGTATTTACTTTCCCTGTAGCCTTATTTGTATGTGGCCGTGGGCCAAGTCTTTAAATAGACTAAACAGATGTACTGCTGAGATAAGACAATACAAAGTATTCTATTCATTTCCTCTTCTTCTCGACTCGTGTTCTGTTCTTGTTTCTGTTAATTTCTTCATGGTATCAGACAGGGCTTGAATCCCGGGATTTCATGGCTTCCTCCAACACTTCATCTCTCTTAGATACTACCGAGACGGCTTCCTCGGAGACTCCCGTTATTTCTTCCTCGCTCAAATTCCTTCTTTCCAACCTCAAGAACTTTGTGCAAAGCCCTCTCTCGGCGGACAACTACCCGCTTTGGCGCTCTCAAATCGTCAAGATCTGTCGTGCCAATGGGTTTGAATCCTTTCTTGATCCTCAAACTCCTATTCCGGACAAATATATTTCCAAACCAGACGGATCCACCGCTCCCAATCCTCGCCATCTGCAATGGCTTCTTACCGATCAGAACCTCTCGGCGGCGATTTGCTCTACAATATCCTCCTCCATTCTTCCGTATATTCTCAATCTTGAATCTACTTCGCTTATCTGGACCACTCTTGAGACTTGGTTTCAATCCACGAGTAGGTCCAAGGCCATTCAATTGAAAAACGAGCTTCACAACATATCTCTCAAGAATTCCTCAATGTCGCAATATCTCACCGACGTGAAGAATCTTGTTGATCAAATCGCCACTACTGGATCGAAAATTGATACATAGGACATTATCCTCTATATCCTTAATGGTCTTCCTAGCTCATATCAATCCTTCAAGACCTCTATCAGGACTATGACTACTCCTCTAAGTCTTGATCAACTCTATGCCTCACTGATTAGTGAAGAGATCCACGTTTCCACTAACGCTGCTAAAGGTCTCACATCCGAACATGCTCCGACGACTCTTTACTCCACCAGGGGTCGTGGCCGCAAAACAAGGGGTCGCTCATCTTCGTCAGCACAATCTCAACGGGAACCAACCAATGTTTCCATCTTCTGTCAAATCTGTCTCAAGCGTGGTCACGGTGCCCCTGACTGCTGGCACAGGTTGAACACTCAGTATGTACTAAGACCGCCAAGAATGCCCAATAAAGCTCTTCTTGCTAGTTCCCAGCCCGACTACAATGAATGGTATCTGGACTCAGGGGCCTCTTCCCACATGAAGAAATCCTTGGAGAATCTCTCCATCTCGTCTCCTTACAATGGCTCGGACAGCATCACGATTGGTGATGGGAGTTCGGTTAGCATCGCCAATTCCGGCAAGGGGCTGCTACCGACTACCTCTCGTAAGATCAAACTCTCTCACATTTTACATTCTCCTTCGTTACAATATAATCTTCTGTCTATTTCTAAACTCACGAAGGAAAACAATATTGCTATAATTTTTTACGCTGATGGTTTTATGTTTAAGGATTTGACGAACAACCAGATTATTCTCAAAGGACCGTGTCGTGAAGGATTATATCCTCTTCGGCCAGCTGCTGAAGTTTCTAATAAATCAGTGTTTTTTGCTAATAACTGCAGCACTACACCTTGGCATGCCAGATTGGGTCATCCCAACCAAACGACGATGGCACACATTGCTTCTTCTTCTCCCCATCTCAAGATGGGTGCTGTTAATGTTTCTTGTTCTTCTTGTAATAGTTCTAAAAGTCATAAGCTTTCTTTTGAACATTCCACTAACAGGAAACATAAGATTCTTGAATTACTGCATTCTGATGTGTGGGGTCCTGCACCCATTGCTTCTAATACCGGTTACATCTATTATGTTATTTTTGTAGATGATCATTCGCGCTTTACGTGGCTATTTCCGATGCATCACAAATCGGAAGTTTTACAAATTTTTATTAACTTCAAAAATAACATTGAAAATTATACTTCACACAGAATTAAATGTCTTCGTACAGATGGAGGTGGCGAATATCTCAATAATTCCTTCTCTCAGTTTCTTCAACAAAACGGAATATCTCATCAAGTCTCGTGTCCATACACTCCTGAGCAAAATGGGGTCGCGGAAAGAAAACACCGCCATATCATCGAGACCACGCGCACCCTTCTTCATCAAGCCTCGGTTCCCTATTCTTTCTGGCCAAATGCTGTACTTACCTCGGTTTACCTCATAAATCGCTTACCCTCCTCCAACACATTGCACAAATCCCCGTTTGAGCTTTTTCATAATCTTAAACCTGAATACGAACATCTTCGTACCTTTGGCTGCGAGTGTTTTCCGCTAATCCCTGCATCTCTACGTCATAAACTACAACCGACAGCTAACTCGTGTATCTTTCTTGGCTACTCCGACAAGCACAAGGGATACAAGTGCCTTCACAGACCTACCAACAAAATCATTATATCACGACATGTGAAGTTTAATGAATTCTCCTATCCGTTTCAATCCAAGACACTCATTCTGAAATCTGCACCTGAACACATACCAACCTTTCTCCTCATGCCCACTACCACTATTACTTCTCACAACTCTATCAAACAGAACCAAACTTTGCCCGCTGCCAAACCTGTGTCCACGGTCTCTGCTTCTATCACCACCAATTTGTCCTCTCAGGACCTTGTCACTCAGACCGATACCCCCATCATCAATTCAACGCCTAATGTTTCGGTTCATCCCATGCTTACGCGACAGAAGACAGGTAACTTAAAACCATGTGTACGCTTAAATCTTATTCATAATACCGCTGCTGCAGAACAGACGTCTGACCCAACGACATTCAAAGAAGCCAATAAACATTCAGTATGGCGCACGACAATGGCTTCAGAATTCTTTGCCTTACAGAAACAAGGCACATGGAGCCTAGTTTCCCCTCCGTCAAACTGCTCTATCATTGGTTGCAAGTGGACATATCGCACAAAGTTTCATGCGGATGGTTCCATTGCTAAGCACAAGGCAAGATTAGTGGCACAAGGCAATCATCAAGAGTATGGAATCGACTACACCGAGACTTTCAGTCCAGTAGCAAAATTACCGACGATAAGCATACTCTTGGCCGTAGCTATACACCACAATTGGCAGGTTCAACAGTTAGATGTGGCAAATGCGTTCTTACACGAAAAGCTCTCCGAAACCGTGTACATGGCTCAACCGAAGAGCTTTGAAGATTCCACGCATCCGGAACATGTATGCCTTCTACACAAAGCGATCTACGGTCTAAAACAGGCTCCGAGACAATGGTACAATACGTTCACCTCACATTTGGTATCCATTGGTTTCAACCATAGTGCTTCAGATCCATCGCTTCTCTCCTATACCAAACAAAATACGAGAATTTTCCTACTCATCTATGTGGACGACATCCTCATCACGGGAAATAACAATGAGGCTATACGTGAGATTCTTACAAACCTCAGCAAACATTTTGACATGAAACACCTTGGCGTCGCTCACTCCTTCCTGGGCATACAAATTTCAAGCACCAATCAATGCTACTTTCTGTCACAGCAACCATATGCGAAGTCTATACTCACAATGGTTGGGCTCTTACAATGCAACGCTCTCTCTAATCCTAACTGTACTAAACTTCCAAAAACTATTCCAGACGATCCTATACTCGCTGCTCCAGAGACATACAGAAAAATTGTAGGATGTCTTCAATATCTGACTTTAACACAGCCGGATATCTCTTACAGTGTCAACACGCTCTCTCAACACATGCATCAACCGGAGTCTCAACATGCATATCTCCTAAAAAGACTACTCAGATACATAAAAGGTACGTTAGACTACGGCATACCCATTACAAAATCTAATTTGTGCTTAAAATCTTTTTCAGATGCGGATTGGGCAAGCGATCCTACCTCCAGGAAATCCATATCTGGTTACTGTTCGTTCCTAGGTGACTCGCTCATATCATGGACAGTCAAGAAGCAAGTCACTGTGGCACGCTCGTCTACCGAATCCGAGTATAGAGCATTGGCGGCATTAGTAGCTGACGTTATTTGGCTTCAGCGGGTTCTCCTAGATTTCGGCATCCAGCAAGAGCATCCAACCAAAATATTCTGTGACAATACCTCAGCCATAGCCTTGGCAAACAACCCGGTGTTCCACGCACGTACGAAACATATAGAAATCGATCACCGATTCGTACGTGATCACATCCAGCAACAACACATTCAACTCCTACCAATCAGTACACATGATCAAACCGCAGACATTCTCACTAAACCGCTCTCAACACAGCGTTTCCAACAACTTCGATTCAAACTAAGTGTCATTCAAGACCCTTCAGTTTGCAGGGGGCTGTTAGAGCACAAAGACATAATTAAATAAAATGCATATTGTATTTACTTATTCCTGTAGCCTTACTAGTATGTGGCCGTGGGCCAAGTCTTTAAATAGACTAAACAGATGTACTGCAGAGGAGATAACACGAATCATTCTATTCATTTTCTCTTCTTCTCTGCTTATGCTTGGTTCTTGTTTCTGTTAATTTCTTCAGTCTGTTGGAAATAACTACCGGTCCTCTCTCTCTCTCTATCATTATGAGAGTTCGTTTATTCCATAGAGAATTAACTCATGAAAGAAGAAAGTGAAAGGAAAATGGAAGAGATACCATAGCTCGAAATTCAACGAATTCAACCTGAATCAATGTATGTTTTCTTCTGATTAAAATTTTGTGAAAATCATCTTGTTCAAGATCTTGTGGATTTAAGTCTTATGTAAATTCATGCTTCATTTCAATTTATTTTAAATAATTTATGATGTGAGTTCTTGCAAGAGTTAGAGAACATATTTTGCATGTTTTGAGTTCTTGTAAGAGTTAGAAAACTAATTTTTACATGTTGCGAGTTCTTGCAGGAGTTTAAGAAATTGAACCTTACAACCTTTTTATCATTAAACCTCCTTATAAATCCCTTGCAACTTTGCCTTACCTACCCTACAACTTCAAATTCTACTATAATATATCTTAGATGTTATTTCGTATAAAATATTTATAATTTATGTGTATTCTTAATATAATGTAAAACAAACTCAATGTATTTTAAATAATTCTTAGTGTTTGATTTGTTGTAAAATAGTTTTAGGATATTACCTTTAAGCTAGACATACATGAGCAATGAGGTTGCATCACATACCCCAATGTATTTGAAAGTCATTCAAATTAAGAAAATTCCAAATAATAAAAAAATTGAGGTGATTGATGTATTTAAAATTATAAAAGTAATATAAATTTATTTTACTCTCAATCAAACACAACAACAACAACAAACATTTATCCCGCAACGTGGGTTAATTACATGAATCATTTTTATCCATTGTGTTATATTAAAAGTCAAATTCTCATTTAAATCTAATAAAAATATTATTTCTAATATTTCTTAATCAAGTCTTTTTAGGTCTATCTCTGTCTTTCTTAATAAAAGTGAAATATGCACATCTACTATCATAACTGAGTATTCGGAAGGCCAATGCTTTATGTGTCCAAACCATTTAAGGTGGCTTACTTTAATCTTATCTGCTAATGGAGCCACGCCAACTTTTTCACGTATTTACTAATTTTACATTCTGTCTCTAAGAATGGGCGAATTATTACGTCGGTCACCGGACGTCCGAACATCCAATCTAGACGCGCCACATCACCCAAATACACCAGGATCCGATGTATTTGGATGATATGACACGTCTGAATTGGTGTCCAAATAATTTCCGAATAAATCCGGACACAGAACATAATAATTTTTACTAAGAATGAGGCCACTCGTCCCCTTGAACATCTTCAGCACATGCAAGGGAATGGCATCCTCATTCCTCAGGAAGATCGAAAAGGCGCACCATCTACCATCCACTGTGAAATCAAATGAAGAGAAAATTTCCACGTGGACAAACGCACTTCTTCCAAATTCCCTTATCACCCATAAACTAGGAAATCCAAAACAGGACCAGAACTGATTTGGCTTCTCTCTTGTTCCACGCTCTTCGCTTGCCTTCGTTTTTCCACTCTCCACTTTCTCCTTCGAATCCCATGCTGCATGGCATTCCCACCTCCCACTACAGCCCACCCAATTCCTCCTCCTCCTCTTCCCATAACACTGCCCTCTTCTCCGCCATGAGATCTCCATCTCCATGCCTCTCATGCTCCCCTCTCCTCTCCCCCCCTTCTTGCTCCTCCCTTATCTCCTCCTTCAGCCCTACAAAACGTTTTCCGGTGCTCCGCCCGCTCTCCTCACTCCGTGAGACAAAGAAGGTAACCTTACGCAAGGTCTCTACAAATGTTCCTCAGAACCTACGGTTCGATAACAGGAAGGGGCGGGGGGAAGGCAGTAACGCCTCCGATGATGGTGAGGGCGGCCTGACCGGGGAGAACGCCCTCAAAGGAACGATCATCGCTGGCCTCCTGCTCGTTGTTGTTGTCGGTGGGTTTGGCACGGCCGGGTACTTCTTTAAGGACCAAATCAATGCGTTCCTCACCCAGTTCTCCAGTTTTATTGATGGTAATTTTCATTGGTGAATTGACCTTACATTGATTTGTACAATTCTGGAATTTCGAACAATTGGGTTGGATTGCCGTTAAGTCACTTAGAGAAATTTGGAATGTGGGTTGGTGAAAAAGTTTGGATGGTTATTTTTGGAATTGTCGACTCATTGCTATTTTTCTTGGAAATTGCCTTTTTTTTCTGTTATGGAGCCTGAATGACTGCAGGCTGCGCCTTGATTAACAAGGAACTTGTGATTTTGTTCATATAATCTCATTGTTTCATGTTTGTCCCTTTTTTTGATGTTCATTCAATGCAAAAAATTAACTTGGCTTTTCCGTCTGTTATTCAAAATGAGGTTGGTTGTTGCATGACACCTTTATTCGACTAATCTTCTTGATAAAATGCAACTCAATGGGAGTGATTTGATGGTTTCACAGGAGACAGAATATTGAGATGTCATTCTTTGTCACTCAAGCATTCTATTTCAATAAAATCACATAAGTAACTCGCCTATCAACTGCTCCAATGGCCATTCATAGGGTAAATGAGTGGAGTCTAGACAGATTCCTAATGGGCCTTTTTCGGAGTTAAAATACTAGATAGAAAAGACTGAAACATCATTTCCTCAGTTGCTCTTGTAGGTTTATGAATTATTTCTAGCAGTATCAGTTTCTAAGTCAAGTAGTGCTAATGTTCTTTTATGTCCATGAGGTGAAACACTGAAAATACATGAAACAAAATGGCAAGCTGCATGCAGAAAACTTGTTGCATGACTTCTTACCTTTTTGATTCCTATTCTTCTAAATAAAGAAAATACCAGATTACAACTTGAGTAGAAACAATTGAGTACTGATTCATATACATTTGATCTCAAAATTTTTATCCGTGTCTCATTTAACCTTCATTAATTACTCCTAAAAAACTTTTTGCTGCATGTCTGTGGGTGCATTGTAGTTGTACTTCTGTGGACGGGGGCTAGGATTAGGTGTTTAATGGGGATTAATAGATTTAGGAACTTTTAGTGTAGTATAATACCTTTTTGTTGGAAACTTTTCTTAGGGTTAACTTCTAAGCTAGAAGTTCTAACTAAATGGGTTGTTGTGATGAAACAAGATACTCTATAAGTTTTCTTCTCCAATTTGTGAGATTAATAGTGGCCTTGGAAGTGTAATAAGGGAATAAGAGATTTATTTAGAGTAAGAATGGAAGCTTGAGATGCCCCCTCTCTCCGCCATTTCACAGGCATAATAGAATATTTGTGTTAGTGACACTTGTGGTGGCATACCATTATAATAGCGGTGACAAAGAATTACAACAACTTTTTTTCTTTTTTGGTGAGCAAGATGGGAGGGCCTATGAATGAAGGACCTTGTATGGGTGGGGAGATTAGAGTTTAGTTTATCCATTTAACTAGACTATGTGTCTATTTGGGTAACTTTTTCAAAGCTTTGCTTTTCAGACTAATGCTGAATATCTGTTTGGCTATTGTTTTCTGGTTGCTTTTTAAAAATTTTTGTGATGGAAAGTTGTGTTATAGAATCAAATTTGTTAGTGTGGTAGCTGGAAGAAAGCTATTGTTTGACTTATTATTTTTCTTCTTTTTTTTCTTCAAAAAAATCCAAACCATAGCAATTTTGAAAAAAAATTATTTTATCCATAACAACTTTGTAACCACATTTACAAAAGCTACAGCCATTCCAAACAGTCCCTAAGTTTGATTTGAGTTGTTGGTTTGCCACTTTTGGATAAAATTCAGAACTTTAGATCATCTATTTATAATGTACATGAACTACACATAAATTCTTATATATATATATATAATCACACACACAAGAAATTCTTTTGTAATGTATTATCAACAGCTTAAAATGCCTCAAGCTTTAGAACAGCTTTCACAAGTTCATAAAGAAATTATTGTTGAGATTTGCACTATAAGCTTTTGGAACTGGAAAATTCATAATATAGCCTTACCATATATTGGTGAATTTGATGAAAAGAACATTCCTATGTTGGTTAGACTTTTTGAAATGAATAAAGATTATGTTGATCTCTGTAAACATGAGATAAATGACCTTCTACAAAAGGCAATTATTAGAATCCATCATAGCAATGCATCAAGGAAACATCAAATCAAATCTATCAAAAACAATACGAAAGAGGACATCTACCCTATATGTTGGCAATAATGAAGAAGAACTAATGAAGGAGAAGGAAAAAAGAGAAAGCTTGAACTCACTATTGAAGGAAGGACTTGTTGTTGGTAGCTGTTGCGAAAAAGGAGCGAGGAGGGAGGATATATGCGACGGCTATGAGGAAGAAAATAGAAGAATAAGCGATGCCCTAGCTTCCTATTCAGTTTAAATGGTGAGAGGGAAGGGTGGGAGCTGGAAAAAATAGAACAAGCTGGGATGAATCGCGTGATTTATGCGATTGGAGAGAAAGACGAGGCGCGAAACGGTGGCCGCTATGCGGTTGGTCGCGATCTGTGCTAAGGAGCGGGAGGAGGGTCGGTTTGTGCGGCTCTGACTCAACAAATGAAAATGCCTGGACCAGCCAGTCTAGGCTTAAATATTACATTCAGTAAGGCTTATACATCAATGCTAATTAGGTTCTTTAGTAGTGGGTGCCTTCTGTACTAATACACCCTTTTGAAATACAAAATTTTGATCTTTTAGAGTCCCTTGACTCAACCGGTTTAAGTGGTTTAGTGCAAGGTTTAAAATTGCATAAATTAGCTTTGAGGCATTTTTCGTCCGTGAGGCGAGGCGTAAGCCTCACGGACGAAGAATTGCGTAAATAAGAATTTAAGGGTTTTAGCAGGTAAATAATAGTAAGATTCTATCATACAATAAACACATCTAAATGACAAATGAAATTAGTGGAAAGTAAGAAAATAGATGTAATAAAATCATGTTCCAAAGTATAGAACCACAAAATATTAGTCTATTAAAACTCCCAAAGCAAATAAGAAATAACATATAAAATCCAATCATGTCCCATCACTAAATTTTGCTCATGTTGTAAATGTTGCTACTGTTGTAAATGTTTGACCGTCGTACTCTTTTTCATATAAACTATAATTTCCTCATTCACGTTATCCAGAACATTCGCACAAGGTGCTAAATTTTTATGTGAGCCAAATAAGTGTTCCTTCATGCGAGTTACTTATCCCTTCACTACCTTATCACAAAAATTGCATTTTAAATACACATTTCTTCTCGCCGCCTCCTACATCAACTTGCACACTATATTTCCAAGAAGGGTCACGCCGCAATGACTTATTTGCCTTTTTGTTGCCTCTAACCATATTTCCTAATGCAAAAATTCGAAAACAAACAAAAAATCTCAAAGAATAAAAAACCATAAATTTTCTTTCACTTGAAAAATCTTTCGTTGAACTAAAAAAAGTTACCTAAAATCGATTGTGGACTCCTAGAGGGCTGCCAGACACTTCAAGATCGCCGGAGTGAGGCGGCGCCGGCGAGAGAGGCGGTGGGAAGGGAGGCCGAGCGGCGTGCAAAAGAGCTTGGGGCGTGCGGCTTTTTTTTTTGCTCGGGTTTGGTTATGGCTGATAGGAGAGGGGAGGAAATAAGTCTTATTTCATTTATACTTAAGTGAGTGGGTCCCGGTTATTAGAGGCGTTCGCCTCACACTGAATTGCGCAATTCAGCCTCAAAGGCGCCTCATACTTAACGAGGCGTACGCCTCATGAAGACCCAAAAAAGCTTAAGCATTGAGGCGATTTTGCCCAGAATTGTACAGAGGCGCGCCTTTGATTGCGCAATTTTAAACTATGGTTCAGTGAACTCTTTTGAGCTGAAATCAGTAGCTAATATATACGATGCTTTATTCATCCTCCTCTCACTTTCCATTATTTCTGATTCCGTAGAGAATCAATGACCCTTGCTCTTCTTTGGCAGGAAATCTTAATTTCTTGATCATTCACGATCAGTGGAGAAATCAATTCGTTTAGTGGTAAACGAAGGGTTGTATGAGTAGACTCTCATGCTTGTGATGTAATTGTTTGCTATAAAATCATCCATTGCGCAGAGCCTTGATCCGATCTATTGATGTGGTTTCCTTATTTTGATGCTATCAATAAAGTTGTCTTCTTTCCATGCTAGATATATTTCATCTCAAATATTCTCTCCTTGAGCTTGGATATAATATTAGTTTGCTGACTTACTGTACCTGTAACCTTTGGCATTTGATTTATAGAATAACTTTTGGAAATTCGCACATTGGATGAATATGAATTATTCTTCTTTTTTTCCTACTTCCAGTTGTATTCTATTGTATTCATTTGTCAAATTTAACCCCTGAAAGTTCTTTTATTTTATTTTGTTAGGTATTGGCCCTACCGGATATGCTTTATTTGTGGCTGTATATGCTGGATTGGAGGTAAATAATAACGTCAAAGCAATTCTATATTTTATACCTTCATAAGAATAATTTAATTTGTTGTTGACTATATTTTAAGTAGTAAGGATTAAGAAATTATTGTTGAGATTTGTACTATAAGCTTTTGGAACTGGAGAATTCATAGTATAGCCTTACCATAGATTGGTGGATTTGATGAAAAGAACATTCCTATGAAGGTTAGACTTTCTGAAATGAATAAAGATTATGTTGATCTCTGTAAACATGAGATAAATGATATTCTACAAAAGGCAATTATTAGAATCCATCATAGCAATGCATCAAGGCAACATCAAATCAAATATAGGAAAAACAATACGAAAGAGGACATCTACCCTATATGTTGGCAATAAAGAAGAAGAACTAACGAACAAGGAAAAAAGAGAAAGCTTGAACTCACTATTGAAGGAAGGACTTGTTGTTGGTAGCTGTTGCGAAAAAGGAGCGAGTAGGGAGGATATTGGCGACGGCTACGAGGAAGAAAATAGAAGAATAAGTGATGCCCTAGCTTCTTATTCAGTTTAAATGGTGAGAGGGAAGGGTGGGAGCTGGAAAAAATCGAACGAGCTGGGATGAATCGCGTGATTTATGCGATTGGAGAGAAAGATGAGGCGTGAAACGGTGGCCGCTATGCGGTTGGTCGCGATCTGTGCGAAGGAGTGGGAGGGTCGGTTTGTGCGGCTCTGACTCAACAAATGAAAATGCCTGGAACAGCTAGTCCAGGCTTTAAATATTACATTCAGTAAGGCTTATACATCAATCCTAATTAGGTTCTTTAGTAGAGGGTGCCTTCTGTACTAATACACCCTTTTGAAATACAAAAATTTGATCTTTTAGAGTCCCTTGACTCAACCGATTTAAGTGGTTTAGTGCAAGGTTTAAAATTGCGTAAATAAGCCTCGAGGCGTTTTTCGTCTGTGAAGCAAGGCGTAAGTCTCACGGACGAAGAATTGCGTAAATGAGAATTTAAGGGTTTTAGCAGATAAATAATAATAAGATTCTATCATACAATAAAAACATCTAAATGACAAATGAAATTAGTGGAAAGTAAGAAAATAGATGTAATAAAATCATGTTCCAAAGTACAGAACCACAAAATATTAGTCTATCAAAACTCCCAAATTACAAATAAGAAAAAACATATAAAATCCAATCATGTCCCATCACTAAATTTTGCTCCTGTTGTAAATGTTGCTCCTGTTATAAATGTTTGGCCGTCGTAATCATTTTCATATAAGCTGTAATTTCCTCATTCACGTTATCCAGAACATTCACACAAGGTGCTACATTTTTATGTGAGCCAAATAAGTATTCCTTCATGCGAGTTACTCCTCCCTTTACCACCTTATAGCAAAAATTGTATTTTAAATACACATATGTCTTCTCGCCGCCTCCTACATCAACTTGCACACTATATTTCCAAGAAGGGTCACGCCGCAATGACGTATTTGCCTTTTCCTTGCCTCTAACCATATTTCCTAATGCAAAAATCCGAAAACAAACAAAAAATCTCAGAAAATAAAAAAACCTAGATTTTCTTTCACTTGAAAAATCTTTCGTCGAACTAAAAAAATTACCTAAAATCAGTTGTGGACTCCTCCTAGAGGGCGGCCGGACACTTCAAGATCGCCGGAGTGAGGCGGCGCCGGCGGGAGAGGCAGCGGGAAGGGAGGCCAAGCGGCATGCGAAAGAGCTTGGGGCGTGCGTCTTTTTTTCTGCTCGGGTTCGGGTATGGCTGATAGGAGAGGGGAGGAAATAAGTCTTATTTCATTTAGACTTAAGTGAGTGGGTCCCGGTTATTAGAGGCGTGCGCCTCACACTGAATTGCGCAATTCAGCCTCAGAGGCGCGCCTCACAGTGAACGAGGCGTACGCCTCATGAAGACCCGAAAAAGCTTAAGCAACGAGGCAATTTTGCCCAGAATTGTGCGGAGGCGAGCCTCGGATTGCGCAATTTTAAACTATGGTTCAGTGAACTCTTTTGAGCTGAAATCAATAGCTAATATATACGATGCTTTATTCATCCTCCTCTCACTTTCCATTATTTCTGATTCCGTAGAGAATCAATGACTCTTGCTCTTCTTTGGCAGGAAATCTTAATTTCTTGATCATTCACGATGAGTGGAGAAATCAGTTCGTTTAGTGGTAAACGAAGGGTTGTATGAATAGACTCTCATGCTTGTGATGTAATTGTGATAGGTACCACTTGAATATTTCAAGTGATTCCTATCGAATCTAAGCCAAATCACAAGTAACCCGCTGTTTTCTATGGGAAAACAGCCACCAAACACAAAAACAGCGAACCAACGTGAAGAAAACTGAGAGAAATTGTTGTAGATTGCAAAAAAAATAACGAACCGATACAATGATCCTCTATTCGAGAGGAGGATCCACTCTCCCGATGCTCTCTAGATGAAAATCTAGAGCCCCACGACCTCCCCCCGTAGCAATTCTCAAGCACACAAGCAATAATCAAGATAAAACCTAAAACCTAGGTTAATTCCCTCTTAATACAATCTAATTCAAAACAAAAGCAAAAGGACATCGCTACCCTTCATTCTCCCTCCAAAATCACTTAAAATTTGTTTGAATTGCTAGTGGACCCCACCCCCAAGCCCCCCCTGTTTCTTCCGCCTGGAGCAGACCCGGACCTGCTGGGCCGGTCCATGTTGGGCCGGTCCAGGTTGGACCGGCCTAACATTATCTCCTCCAAGGCCATGAATTTCCCTTCCACATTCTCGCTCAATGTCGCCATCTTCTCCTCCAGATTCGATTTAAATTGACCCATCTCGATCTCCAAGACTTCCACCCGCTTAGATGCCATGGAAACCAAAGAGATGCCTCCGGATCCACTGGAAAACGACAATTTTTCACCAAGTTTTCCCTTCCAATCGGCAAAAATCTGCAGCGAAGCAGTGGAAAAAAAAAAAAAAAAGCCCTCCACCGCCAGGATCTCGCTCTGATACCAATTTGATAGGTACCACTTGAATATTTCAAGTGATTCCTATCGAATCTAAGCCAAATCACAAGTAACCCGCTGTTTTCTATGGGAAAACAGCCACCAAACACAAAAACAGCGAACCAACGTGAAGAAAACTGAGAGAAATTGTTGTAGATTGCAAAAAAAATAACGAACCGATACAATGATCCTCTATTCGAGAGGAGGATCCACTCTCCCGATGCTCTCTAGATGAAAATCTAGAGCCCCACGACCTCCCCCCGTAGCAATTCTCAAGCACACAAGCAATAATCAAGATAAAACCTAAAACCTAGGTTAATTCCCTCTTAATACAATCTAATTCAAAACAAAAGCAAAAGGACATCGCTACCCTTCATTCTCCCTCCAAAATCACTTAAATTTTGTTTGAATTGCTAGTGGACCCCTACCCCCAAGCCCCCCTGTTTGTTCCGCCTGCTGTGCGTCCCGCTTCTGCCTGGAGAAGACCTGGACCTGTTGGGCCGGTCTAAGTTACCTGGACCGGCCTAACAAATTGTTTGCCATAAAATCATCCATTGCGCAGAGCCTTGATCTGATCTATTATGTGGTTTCCTTATTTTGATGCTATCAATGAAGTTGTCTTCTTTCCATGCTAGATATATGTCATCTCAAATATTCTCTCCTAGAGCTTGGATATAATATTAATATTAGTTTGCTGACTTACTGTACCTGTAACCTTTGGCATTTGATTTATAGAATAGCTTTTGGAAATTCGCACATTGGTTGAATATGAATTATTCTTCTTTTTTTCCTACTTCCAGTTGTATTCTATTGTATTCACTTGTCAAATTTAACCCCTGAAAGTTCTTTTATTTTATATTGTTAGGTATTGGCCCTACCGGATATGCTTTATTTGTGGCTGTATATGCTGGATTGGAGGTAAATAATGACGTCAAAGCAATTCTATATTTTATACCTTCATAAGAATAATTTAATTTGTTGTTGACTATATTTTAAGTAGTAAGGATTAGGAATTTTGAATATAGAAGCCTAGCTTGAGAGACTTTGATTAAAATTTGGTGAAATTAAATAGTTAAACCTGAAACAATTAGTTTTGTTTCTATCTGGTCCCTCATATATCCACACTGTTTAATTGTGACTGGTTGGTAATCTAAAATAAATTAAGACTACTTTCTTCTATTTCTTATTTCATTGATTATTCTTTTGTCTAAATAACAATTTATTCAGTATATGGCGAGTAAAAGCACCTGATCTAATATTGAAACCAGCGTCTCTGCATAAAATTAGCCATCCAATTACAAATTGAAATATAATTAGAATCATACAAAAAGTTAGAGAACTACAAACAATATCTATCACAAGGCCTCGTACCTCGGAGATCGCTTAATTTTCTCTTAGGGGTGTTAATGAGTCGGGTGGCAGTTGGTTTTTTAACCATTTTATTTCATGCTTTACATTTGCAATTTGTATGGCTTTATACTAGCTAAGATAGGAACACCTTCTGCACAGTGAAATATTTCCCTTATCATTTTAATCCTTATGTACTAACGTATAGTAGTTATTCATGATGTTATAGATTCTTGCGATTCCGGCCATCCCATTAACTATGTCAGCTGGTCTTTTATTTGGAACCTTAACTGGCACCATCATAGTGTCTATCAGTGGAACAGTAAGTTTACTTGATATATCTATGCCATCAGTTTAGTTGCATTTTAACTGCCAGCTTCATGCCCCTCGGTTACATGTATGCTTATTCTAGGTTGCTGCTGCTGTTGCCTTCCTTATTGCTCGATATTTTGCTCGTGAAAGGATTCTTAAGTTGGTTGAAGGGAATAAAAAGTTTCTTGCAATTGACAAGGCAATTGGCGAAAATGGATTTCGTGTTGTAACTCTTTTACGTTTGAGCCCATTACTCCCATTCTCTATTGGAAACTATCTATATGGTTTGACTTCAGTGAAGTTTTTTCCTTATGTGCTGGGAAGGCAAGTTATGCATTTCTTGCACATCTTTCAGCTAAATTTGCTGCCATTTTGTAATTTTAATAATGCTATTGACCTTAATGTGGAATTTTTTGTGACATAATTAGGTTCTTTAAAAATAAATGCTCTGTTGTAATTTTTTTGCACTATTAGTTGTAAGTGATAACTAGAATTATTGCAAAGATAATGTAGGCATGAAATAACCCTGCTCCACTTGCTTGCGATTAATGAACTGCCCCATGGAATACAAATTACAGTAGTCTTATTTGTAGGCCAAGCTTATGTTAAAATGATTGAAATCTTGAGTTTTAATTTCCCTCCCTTGCTCAATCTGGCTGATGTCGTCAGAAATGGGAGGAATTCCAAATTGAGAGAAGCACAAATAATTAATTCTCAGCCTTACATGTTAACTTGGACTTACTAAACGAATTTATCCAGCAAGCACAACCGTTGCATTTGCTTTATCTGAAAAATTTCCACTCAGTTACAGCAACTATTCATGCATCAACTGATATATTCTCATTTCTTGGTTCATAACACTATCACTGTAGTTCTAATGGTTACAATAATTCTATCTGTATTCTAGTTTGTGCCTGACTTTTTGCCAACATAAGTATTTTGGATAAATTTTTTTAATGTACTACAATATGCAAAACTAACGTTACTTTCTTGATGCATGGTTGGCAGTTGGCTGGGGATGCTTCCTGGAACTTGGGCTTACGTGAGTGCTGGAGCATTTGGACGTGCGATAATCGTAAGCTGTTTTTGGCCTGAAATAGTAATACAAGGAGATTTGCTTGATATTGTGATATTTAAGGGCGATGTCACAATGTAACACCTTTTTCCTGATAGCTTAAGGCTTCGTTTGGGACGGCTTTTTTATTGCTTTCTAAAACAGAGTTTTAGTACAAAAATAAAAAATTTTGTACTAAAACTCCGATTTAGAAAGCAGTAAAAAAGCCGTCCCAAATGAAGCCTAAGTCTTCGTTGTTACAAAAATTTCTGATTCAAAATTTTTTTGAGAAATTTGTACTAAAAAGTCGTTTGATAAAGCAGTAAAAAAACTGTCACAAATGAAGCCTAAGTTTTTCAGATTTCTATTAATTTATTCAAGTGAAACAAAGTCTCAATATTTTTTCGTTGGCATTATGAAATATAAGTCTAATTAGTTGTAGGAGTAAGAGGACTCGTTAGAAGTGATTTTAGGTTCCAAAAGTTCGTTTCAAATTGTCAGATTTAATCATTTTTTACGTTGAAATCCAATATTTTTGCACACGGTTTTTTTTTTGTTTATATATGGCTTTTATTTCTGATGGTTCGGCAGTCTGAATGGAAGGGGAAATGAGAAGTTTATGTTCATGTACAAGGAAATCTGAGAGAATCTCAGAAGTAGTTGCAATGCATGATAGAATTTACCAATTTTTATACCAATAGTCAATCATAAAACTTGCAAACCTTTACCACTCCACACAAATTTTGCTCTCATTGTTTGATGTGAGGGGGCTTACCCTGGTTTCTCTTATACGGAACTAGAAAGTTTTTCATCTCCAGAGACTTCCTAATGTCATATACCAGCCAAACACTTGGATTCGTTCACTTCGTCCACTTCCCCTTCAAGGTGCCACTTGCAGAACAAATAAGCCCTCTAGTGAACTTTTATATTATCTTTTGTGTTCATGCTACTTCCTTCCTATAGCTAAACTAGGCCATCTGATTCCATATTGCTAACTTGGGTCCTTAAGATCTTTTCATAATTAAGGCTCAATAATCTGACTAACGTCTTTGCCTTCTCATTTCCTGCAGCAAGATGAATCAGATATCGGCATTCCTGGAGGAAGCAACCAATTTTTAACTCTTGGACTTGGCCTTCTAGCTACAGCACTTGCAGCTGCTTATGTTACCAGATTGGCGAAGGTAATACATATTTTGTGAATGCATCATCCATTTGCCAATCCACCTGATGAAGTGTTACTTTGCTGTCTTCAATTTCTAAATTCATGCGTGGAGTATACTACAGCTTGGGCCTTTAGATGTAGTGCTTGCTGGTTGTGGTACAGATTCTTGATATTGGGTCCCTGGTATAAATTTACTTCTCTTTGGGAGCCCGACGTTAACTTAGATGTTTTCCGTAGTAAAACAGTGTTCTACTAAATGTTTATGAAGCACCCTTGAAGACAGTGAGTATTAGTACTTGAAAATTTTCTTTTCATATTCCTCTAGCTTTTGTTTTTGTAACAACTCACAGTATCCCTTAAAAGTACTGGAAGTAGTACTAACATAAACATAACATTTTCATCAATCAATCATATGATACTTTTGAACATTTTAAAAATTTTATAAATGATCCAACAGTTTTCATTCATCACATTAACGGAAGTACATAATAATTTTAAAACTTCAATAAGACATACTTACAGAGTCACTACTGAATCCAAAATAAAAACTCACTGGAATATCTACATACCTCAGATGTAGACTTACAAACAGAGATAAATGTTAACATATAAAATTGAAATACTTGCAACTTAATCCTCTTCGACATTTTTTTTTTCTTTTTTCCTGTAACAACAGTCAGTAAGAAAGATACTGGTGAGCTGAGGCTCAATAAGCTACGCAAATTAAATAACAATTAAAATATAATATTTAATAAATTACAATATTGAAATCATCATTGAATTAATTTATCATTATTTGTAAAACATCATAAAATCATATTTGACATATCATTTATTTCATTTGACGTAGATACTGAATATTCATTTTAGTCTTTAAAAGATTTGGCTATACTTTCATAAACATATTCAATGGAGCTCATGTAAACCTGACATTATCGCCATTAAATTACATAGAGATCCCTTTTGCCTTTTTTAGTGATCCTTTTTTGCCCCACCTGCTATGCAGGTCTCATGTCTTTGGGGTCCCTTTTCCCCTATTTACAATGAAGTGCCATATGTAGGGACCCTTTTGCCCTATCTGCAATTGTAAATTGTACATCATTTTATAACCAAAATTTTACTTAAATAAATATTCATTAAACTTTCTAGTATTCATAAGTCATACTTGAGTTGTTGCATACTTTCATAATCATTTATGTTATCATCTATATACAATTAATATGCATACAATAGGCAAGGAAATTGACATCTTTCCAAAACATTATCAAATAGGAAAACATTTAGATTAACATATTAAAGCTTATTTTAAACTCACATGATTAAATTATGTACATGATTGTTCATACTTGAAAACTTGGATGTAAAAATCCTTTATATATATTAAACAAATATAATACCCTTTTACTTTAATGCATTCAAATTAATCTCCATGCTTATAAATGAAAGTCATTATATTTGAAATATAATTGCATTACTTACCTCCTTGCTGAGGTCTATGATGCACCGACACTTCTCCTCAAAGAGGCGTGTAGTGTCCGACACCGTATCCGACACGACACTCATCTGACACTCCTCCAACATGTGTCGGACACGCCGAAAACTTGTCCGATTAAAAAATATTAAATACAAATTAGACACGCGTGTCCGACACGCATATTTTAAATATTTTATGATTTTTTTAAATATAATTTATTGTATTTGGCGGGATTTAATCTAAATTTTTTATTTCCTATCCACAACATCAAATCAACGTCCGCACTTAATACTTAATCATAGAATATTCTCATTTTCATTTCTTTTTGGCAGTGAAGGTATTTTCATATCCTCTATCGATGACTGATAAACGACATCGAATTCTGACTCTCGACATCCTAATACTAATCATTTTAAGCACAAATTCTAGTTAAATGACTTATTATTTTCAAATTATTTTTAAAATTATACTTATTTAATTTTTATACACTATTTTTTAAATATAAAAACTATAATACCGTGTCCAACCGTGTCAATGTCCTATATTTTCAATAACTGACGTGTTCCGTATTCGTGTCATGTCGTATCTATGTTGCCGTGTCCGTGTCTGTGCATCATAGGCTGAGGTGCCTCCTCCAATCCTCTATTTTGAACTTTTTTACTATTGTAAGTCACTTTGAAGCTTTATCTTTGCATATAATCAATGACACCTATGACACGATAAGAAACATCTTTAAAGACTTTCCCTACTATTTAGAAATCCATACAACAACTATGCATATTCCCAAAATTGATTACATTGATTTCCTCTCTACATATATCCAAAGAATCCTCCTTTATTCTACTATTTATTCTTCTTATTCTTCCTCACTGTTTCCTCAAAGCAATTGCTCATTCACAGCAACTATTTTTTCTTTTTCTTTCTTCCTCCATTCTTAAATTTTTTTCTCTTAATCTTCCTTTGCTGAAATCAACTCTTCTCTCACAGCAAATCACTCAAAACAGTAACTCTCTTCTAGCAAATCCCATCCCATGGTCTATTTCTCAATTTCACACAAGCCGTAGGTTTTCATATTTCTGTTCCTAGACTCATCTGCCTCTTAGTGAGCCAAATCCAGAATATTTTCTCTCACCTGATCTCAATCAAGTTCCCACTTCTACAACAATTTCTTTCTTCATACAGCTGATTTCCCACTGTGCCAAATCCTCCTGTGCTGAATTGCTATAAAAAATTTCTGTACTGTGCTGAATTTCTGTTCTTTTCTGGGTGTGAAAACTGCTGCTTGCGGTATCAATTCTAATATAAGACTGCTCAATCAACATATGCTTCCTTTTGGATAATTATTCACTGTTTTCTTCCTTTCCACCGCCACTCAATATTTCTTTTCTTGAAAATAAACGGGCCAACTCACATAACTACCACGTTATGCTTCATTGCCTATAGCCGGCACATCTTCAGAATTCTCATCAAAATAGAAAAATTACTAAAATTAATTCCTGTATTACCTAGTATCTACGGTTAAGTAAATTATTTGCTTAAAGCAAATACTATTACTCACTTAATTCTTTTACTAATGGTATTTACTATTACAAGTAATTTAACATAATTTTTTTCCCATTAAGCTCTAGAATAAACTTTACAATATATTTACTTAATTTAAATTTTCACATACCTGAAAATTTTTGGGTCTTACAATTTCTGTCTTAAAAGTCTGAAAACACTGACAAAGCCATCTCTAATTATGGGTCTGTAGAATTGATTTTCTTTGTCATTAGCATACTTGTTTGGAGAAAGGAGTGAAATTGCCTAGGTGCGAGAGAAAGATGTGTGGCGCTTGCCTTTTTTTAGTGATGCCATGAATTTTAATTAAGAAGCATATTATTTTATTTGGTAATTTCTCACATAACTTTAAAAAGTGACCTTAGCAGTATATTCAACAATAATATCATGTTAAACACAGTTTCATAAAATAGAGTTTTTGATATATATTTCTAGATTAGTTTATGAATAAGTTAATTCATTCATGTACACAACAACTTGAATGAATAAAATGAATACAATTAGTTAAAGCTAATATCATGAAATCATATGGAAATTATGCATTGTATATTTAAAAAATTACTCAAGAAAACAAATAATAGTAATAATGATGATAGAAAATGAAGTAACAGTAGTAGAAGTAGAAGAATGGAGAGGAAGAAGCACAGATGTTCTAAGAAGATGGATATGATGTTGATCTCATAACTAGTATCAGGGTTAAGTCGACAATGTATGGTGAATTTTAAAAGGAAAAGGCATGGTGTTGCACAAAACTTGTCCGACGCACATCAACCAAAAACCCAAATCATCGAAATGGCCTATGTTCACTAAACAAACAGTGCCAGAGCGTTAAGGGCAATTGAAATAGGTTTGATCGACACTCATATTGGTTGAGATCATCGATTGACAAAAATCAAAATTTTGTGTGCGTTGATCGAGGCGACATTGACTTGTGTGAATGATGATGACACGAAGAGGGGATTGAGGCATGAATAAATATTATTATTGATTAAAAGTTAATTGATTTTAATTTTATGTTTAAAATAAAAAAAAGAAAAGAAAATTCCTAAATATAATTAAGCCTAACCCTAATTTTCCCTCACTTAAATACCTAGTTTACTCCACTCATGTTACTCCCTCTCCCTCTCATGATCTCTCACACATGAACCCACCTCCTCTCTCGCTCTCTCCCTCTCCCTCGCGTGAAGACCGAACTCCAACCACCTTCTCGTCGCCCTCTAGCTCACCGGCCTGCCCTAGCCGCCACGTCCTCCCTTCTTTTCTTCTTCTTCCTTCTACTTATTCTTCCTCTCCTCTTCTTTTTCTTCTTCCCTTCCTCACTTCATTTTCTTCCTCTCCTTCATCTTCTTTCCACCAAACCCTAACATTAGCACCCCTCTCTCTCTTTCTCTCTCTAAAATTTGAGAGAGAAAAAAATGATTTTCTCTCTCAAATACCTCACATATTCTTCCTACAACCCTTATGCCACTTCCTCCATGAAAAACCCTAGCCACACACTCTCTCTAAAACTAGAGAGGTAAAGTCATTTCTCTCTCTAAAATCAGAGAGAGAAAGCTCATTTCCTCTCTTTAAACGCCTTCCCACCAAAACCCTAGCCTTTATTTCTCTACCCGTCTCTTCCTTTCTCTCTCTTAAAAAAACTCTTTCCCTCTCTTTCTCTCTCTAGAATATCACACCTCACTCCAACTTGCCTTCGAACAGTGGATGTGGAATGCAACAGAGGAAAGACTGAAAATGATTTACCTTATTTCACATTACCTTTCAATACAAATCCTGTCATTCAAATGCTACACTACTATAAAGGATATAATTTAAGACATCAATCATAAGTTGTCCAAACTTTTATTTCTAAAACTTTCATCTACAAAGCAACTACAGGAAAACTAAAACAGGTAACTGTTAATAGATTACTGACCTTATTCATAAACATACATTGACAAAAGTAAATTTTAAATAAAATTTGAATTTGATACTATTCTGGTTAA